GAGGATGGCACAGAAAAGCAGACGTGGAGTTTAAAGATCTACAACTTATGATGTGTGAGAACGTTTAAGGGACGTCACCTTTAAAATGAAGACGTCCTCTGGAAAACCCACAAAGAACACAATACGTATTTATTTATTTTTTATTTGTGTCTGGCTACCGCCTCACTGTGCGTACACGGAGAGCCATCTCACAGAACTGCAGCGCTGACGACATACGACAAACCCACTGGAAGAGCAGGGGTTAAAGGGCAGCAGCGCAGGCCTGAGGAGAGACACCGAGGACAGTAAGTCGACACCTGAGAGCCTTCACACAATGAACACAACAGACCAACCGTGTGCTCTGACTCTTCGTTTTGTATGTGTGTGATGATACGTTTATCTGCAGGGCTCTGTGTGTGTGTGTGTGTGTGTGTGTGTGTGTGTTTGGCTGTTAACAGAGGCTCTGTGACCAGTGTCTTAGCATGGTGGCCTCCAGAAAACGCCACCTGTTCAGCACCAGTTGCAGACTAACCACTTAACTGGAATGACATAATAGCTGGCAGCAAAACTACCCGTGTAGACACAGAGCCATGACAGACACATCTGGATTACACTGACAGAGCCATGACAGACACATCTGGATTACACTGACAGAGCCATGACAGACACATCTGGATTACACTGACAGAGCCATGACAGACACATCTGGATTACACTGACAGAGCCATGACAGACACATCTGGATTACACTGTGCCAGATCAGTTCAATTAATACCCGTTTAGCCAGCACACCGTTACATTGGGCCTCTGTGATCCTGGTTATTAGCTTTATGTTTGGCTGCTTGGCTTCCAAGTGCACGTTAGAAGCCAGACTGCTACGGGCCACAGATTTAAATTCACACATAACCACAGTGGCATCACCGAGTATTCACACCCTGACACTTTATCATGTTCACAAACTGTGCTGGCTATAAGTGTGTCTGCCCGTTGTGCGGTGGAAGTTGCAACACAGTTGTGCTGTGTTCACAGCAGACATGAACAGGGCAGTCAGCTCGGTGAGAAACATTATGCCGCCCCCTAAACGGGCTTATGTCCCTCCAAAGGGCGACTCTGTTAGGCGGTCCTAAATGGCCACTAAGGGGCGTCTGAGCTGCGTAACAACTGGTGGCAGGTGTCGACCGCCTATATCTCTGTTTTCAGCTGAGATCATGCTACGATTCACAGGGCTGAGCCCTTTCAGACATGACAACGGTAACGCTGCTGCTTCATCAGTCTGTTAAAGCAACATAGGGCACGTTTACTTGACCTTCCTCAAGGCTTCATCTAGACATTCAGCACCGCCTTCAAAAAAGACATACAGCAAAAATATTAGGGTCAGCTATAGTGTCACCAAAATCACTTAGGGCACCACTGGTCTCCTGTTGGTTATTCCACAACACGTAGTTTGGAAAAATGTGTCTAAGAGCGAAGCAGATGGATATTTTTAGTTCCTCTTTTTGTGTTGCATTTTGTAGACGGGCCATCAAGCGCTGCTCATGTGATGGTTCATCAACAGCTTAGGTTACACCTCACTGTACCTCACTGTACCTCACTGTACCTCACTGTACCTCACTGTCTGCCTCTGCAGGCCTTACTACAGTAGAGGCATCGCTGGTGTTCTGATTTATTAACCCATGAACTTTGAATCTGTGAATATTTTGCCCTGATTGGTCTTATGCTACTTCATTAAGATTTGACTTTTTTCAGGTAGGAAAGTCTCCACTTAGTCGGTCTGTCGATCCTAGATCTGCTAAATCTCTAAAACTCTTTTCCCAGCACTTCCCTGCTTTACGTTCACACTTCGACGGCTGAATCGGTTTTATCACACATTGCTACAGCTGCCCACTGGGGATGTCACCAGGGCTACTGGGACTGGGTAACATGCTCATGAGCACTTGGGTAGGAGCTGTTAACTCGATCCCCTCTCCAGGGATTTACGCTGGAATCTGACCCACTGCTCCGACCTTTGGGTTACCGTTGCACCCGTAACTTAGTGGGGTCAAGCTGGTGAGTACTAAACGTCAGTGAGGCGTTGTGAGCAATATAGGTCATTTAAGATGAGCCTGCCTAATTTTACCCAGTCATACATGGTTCGGTTGGCCTCAGCAGAGCAGATGATTAAAAGCCGGGAGCTGTTATGACTGTCTGGTGTGTTTCTAGGTGAAGCCAATGCCATCTGGGATGGCAGAGGTGAGTGCCAGCTTTTGGGTTACAAGTCAGGACAGCGAGCTCATGAATCTTCCACTTGTCCAGGGAACACAAAGGCCCTGTACCGCCCTGCGATGGCACACACAGAAACATGTTGGTCTTTTCCTAACAACACAAAGCTGTACATGTGCACACAAGCGCTCACCCACGCGTACTGTACGACTAAGCAAAACATTCCCATACAGCGCCGAAAAGCGCAGACATACACGGACACCGTTGACTCTGAGCTTAAAGCTTCTCCATAACATGGTCCTGGAGTCCACTGATATAACACTAAACCCAAGTGCCAAGGCAACACTACAACTCTAAGGACACGAAACAAGATTTTCCTCTTCCAACCTTGACAAAACACAGGATCTTCTAGGAACACAAGACACACACACACACACACATTTCACAATCCCTAACAATAAATCTTAAATAAAAACCCCTACAGGACTATAAAAGATGCAGTTTTAGGAGGTGAAGTAGTGTGAGAGAGAAAGATGACCACTGGTACAGACACAGTCCCAAAACACATCTGAAGTTGCTTTATCAGAGTATTTTCCAAGACAACAAAAGCTAAACTAGAGAAATAATACCACACCAACCAAAATGTGCCAGAGGTCACAGGTAGCTACAGGGAAACAGAATCATGACATCGGGCAAGTACACAGCTAAACTTTTACTTGGACACGAATGATGCAACTTGCCAAGTAAAATTACAGGATTTAAAATGACATGAGAAACATGCAGCGCTGTGGCCTCACACAGGATCCTAGATCTGGGTGTGGCCTAGCCCAGATCGTCCCTGTTGAGGATTACATAGACACGAGTCACAGAGATAATCTTCTGTTAACACGCGAAACTGAAGCTCAACAACCGTTTTAACCCTGAACCACCATTTCATAACACTCGCCCAAATTCAGAAGGTATAAACTCTTCTAATGAAATAATCTGCTCCAGGGAAATGATCTAATTAGTTTCTCAGCTATGAACATTCTCCTTATACAAAAGGATGTTGTCGTCCCTCTGGCTTTGTGTGACAGCAGCTCAACTTCATGAATGTGTTATTTAAACTATTTGTATAATAATAATTTCACTAAATTTTCAATAATACAATGGTAACAATAATATAATTGTCTGTGCAGATTCTCAGTCATCCAGGTCATAGTAAACTGAAAAAACCTTAAAGAATCAACTGGTTCCATCTACAAATCCAAGTCCAGTTGATTTTTTCTAAGGTTTTTTCAATCATATAGTTGGTTACAATAATAAATTCATGCTCAACTTTCACACACACACAAAAAAAACAAAGAATGATGACATCATTTCCTCTCGCCATCTCTGCTTAACTGAAAAGAAACTATACGACCCAAGATTAAAACGACAGTTATCCTGGACTGGGCCAGACTGTTTTTAACTCTGCATCGATAGGAGAGTCGATGACGATTCAGGAAATACCTTCAGAGTTTCAGTGTGTTATGAAGGTTCGGGGTCAAAACAGTCAGCGAGTCTCACAGGAGATTATCAAATGTACGTAGGAGAGTCGCACGCTGGGGCTAGGTTCGTATAGAAACATCAGAACAGCCCCTTGCTTTCTGCCAACTCTAGGTGCTTCTAGGTCCTGACAGGGGCTACAGACAATAAACATGGTCAGAACTCACACAGCAGGCTGGTGAGGAGGCATCTCTCCCTGGGGTACAACAGGGCCCTGACTGGGGGGACTCATATTTGTGTATGGTCTTCCTGTGTTGTCCCATCCCTGGCATTCCAGCCTGCGGCCAGGACAGGAAGCTACAGTACATTTCACCTGTGAGTCTTTAGAGTGTCCCACCCCAAACATGGCGTACATTCAACTGTCACAGTGTGAACACCAAGAACGTCAGCTAATCTTTACACACATCCTGCAACAGACGATGTTTGGCCAGATGTTTGCACCTCATCTGAACAGCAGCCACAGGAGTCGCAGTAGTGACGGCATACCTTTTAAATAACCTTTAGAAAAAAAGGAGGAAGTTTTCTGTGCCTTGTCAGCTGCTGGCTGGAGAAAGGAAGTGGCTCTTTGTGAGAGCTTCAAGTCTGAACGGACTCACTAGTATTTCAGGCTGCTAGGTTGGTGGAAGCTTGTTGCCCTTGAGCTAAAGGTTCTCTCTGAAGCTGCACTACTGACTTCAGTATGAGGTGAAGGGATATTAGAAAGAATCTCACATTCTTAGAAACATCTTTACAAACAATCCTTAGGAAAATCCCATCTCCTCAAAACCCACACGCCACCACAGACAGAAAAACATCAGCATGACACACCAGGCTGCTCTGACACAGCAGATTCTGCAGCACAGGCTGCCCACTGAGCTGCCTGTCACACAGTGCCCTTAAAGGGGAAACTGGACAGAGGAGGCGGGGGGTGGGGGGTGATGGAGGAGGGGGGGGTGCAGAGCAGGGGGGGTGGGGAG